TGCAATCACATTTCACTCGCTTCTACAACGTTCCCGACCTATAGTTTTCCTTCACTCTTTACTTCGTTTTTCTTTTTTTTTTAAGTACGTCATTTTGTTGTTTAGATATTGTTGATTCTTTGCAAGATAATTTGAGCTCAGTGCAGAGCATTAAAGTCATCTTAGGATGAATTCAACGCTTCGAAAGATCATGAATCCGCCATCTATTATTAAGTGACGAGTAAAGCAGTAAAGCATTAATAAGATGCCATATTATATTAATTAATTAGTACTAAATGATTTGCAGTACAAATCAGTTAATACTAATTGATTCCATTTAGCTTATGAAAGTTATGAAAGATTTATGAAGATAACATTAGAGTTATGAAAGATAACATGTTAAGATTTTGCTTCTATTGAAATGCTGAATGGCTAATCAGAACCTTCAACTTTCAGAAGATCATTTTCAACTCGTACTGAAAGATGTATTCTACCGCGTCTTTCGATATAATCCGTTCCGCACATATTGGGTACATATTTAACGCATTTATGATGCACATTTGCATCGCAAGATTCACATTTTTTACCCTAAAAATGATATAAGATTTTTTTTATTGTTAATAATTAAAGGTCAAGACGAGGTTATAAAATTGACAACCTGATGAATAATACCATAAAGCAACGATCCACAATGATCACAAAAGGTTGGCGATGAATATGAGTGCACTTTCCATTTATGTTGCTGTCGTGGATCCTCAAAAGTATTAAAAATGCGATCTTTTTTTCAGGTTTCAGACTTTCGATCGTTACCAGAATTTTTATTCAAAGAATATTTTATTGGAAAATTTATACTTTCAAAAAATTCATCAGAAGCTTTGAGAAGCAAACGATGAAATTCGACAAACAAATGCAAATTCTTTTCTAGCCCTTGCAACCAATTATGAAATGAATGCCAAAAGGAACTGCATAATATAGCAAATATGCAACTAACATCAGTATCAACACCTTTGTCAGCGCCAGGACATTGAAAATTGACAAACTGATGGCATCTTTTATGTACTACAAGTGTGCATACTGCAATTAATATGAGTATTAATAATTTAAATGCAAGTTTGTCAATCTAAAAATTCAACTTAAATAAATGAGAAGTGGCAATTTTCCAGTTGATAGTTTTTAAGACCATAAAGGAGAAAGAATCGATACTTACTTTGACACTGGAAGCCCTGCTTATTAAGTCCCCAAAGAAATTCCTTACAATGTGAACAAAATGTTGGCTGTTTGAAAAATCGTGCAATAAATTTATGCGCTCTGAAAATTCAATTTTTCAAAATGTCAGATCTCATATCAAATATCGTTTCATGGATCAACTAAATGGTTTTATTTTCAATTAATCAAAATCCTATATTAAAAAAAAAAAAA